GTCTGATGGTTTCAATAACAATGTACTTCTGTCATACTTTTTAAAAGGTGCACTTTTTGCATGATGATTCATGAGAACCAACATTCACGAGTATACACTACGACCTGACGACGTACAATTCACTAAGTATTCGCTTGTAGGTAATAAAAAAAACATACCCACGAAAATTCGACACGTTTCGCTAGTCGGACGCTGGAACACGCATTATTTCTTCAATTTACCGTTATTATCTTGTAATTGGAATAAAAATTTATTGGTAGGTAATAAAAAAACATACTATAGTTAAATTGATGTGTTTGCAAGATATGGGAGTAAAATGCTGCCTATTTCAGACTAAACACGTGAATAAACAAAAATTTTTAACAAAAAAAAAACCGACTTCAAAAACACTATTCCAAAACAAATTAATATGCACTAAAAAGGAAAAAATAAATGCATATTGTTCTACAATAACACCACAATGTCAGCCAAGTCGGTGTCACCTACACCTTATAAGTGAGAAGTGCTTGTGTCGCACGCGCGAGTTGACGAGTCTTAAAGTATTCTCGTATTATTATTGCTAGGTATATCGTAGTGTTTCCTTGGCTGACACCGACTCCAAAAATAACAATAATTGTAACTACATTATATTCATTTTATTTTACGTAGGAGAACTCAAATAAATATTTTGATTGTTGTTTGTTATTCACAGGTATATGTTAAATTAGATTTGAAATGGGTAGGTACCTACCTACCTTCTTGCGCGGTTAACACATAGATCGTACCTACATATAGATGAGTAGAAAAAGTAAGTTGATTATTAAGTTGTAGAACAATATGCATTTATTTTTTTCCTTTTTAGTGCATATTAATTTGTTTTGGAACAGTGTTTTTAGAAGTCGGTTTTTTTTTGTTAAAAATTTTTGTTTATTTTTTGCTTTTTAGTGAATCTGAAGTACACTTACTAATTTGTCTGAATATGGGTAGACCTAATAAACGTGCTGCTCAAATGAGACAGCGCCGTTTGAATGAGACAAAGGGAGTCAGGAAGAAACGCCTATCTCAACAGAGGCAATCTACCCTGTGATGACGGATTAAGAATACAGAATGTCACCACCCCTTTTAATCACATGGGTGTCGTAAGAATCTAGTGAGGGAGCAAACTACGCAGGACAACAGCACTGCAAAGAGAAGGAAAACTTGAAATAAACCCTATACCAACGCGTCTGGCCAGCGTGGTATAGTAGGCCAAAACCTCTTTTCTAAGGAGAGGCCTATGTCCAGCAGTAGCTTAATAAAGGCTGTTGATGACGACAATTTACTTGACCATAACGACGTTACTGTAGGTGACTCAAATATCCAGATAGCCCATAAAAGATTCAGCCGAGTATCGTTAATTTGCCTCCTAAGAATTGAAGAGTTCCGTTACTTTGTCGTGGATCCCATCATCAGAATCTAACCAAACTCTCATCAAAGTACCCTTAAAGTACATCCATTCCAATAAAAAAAGAATTATCGAAATCGGTTTGCGTGAAATTGAGTTATTCGTCTATTTGTCGCGAACATACTAAATGCAAATTTAAGACTTATATGGTTTTCTCATGGATGCCATTATCAGAACTAAACCAAATTAAAATGGGACCACACGGGAAGCACCAGCTTTTAAATAAAAAAAGAACCATCAAAATCGGTTCACCTAGTCAAAAGTTCTGAGCTAACAAACATTAAAAAAAAAAAAAAATACAGTCGAATTGAGAACCTCCTCCTTTTTTTGAAGTCGGTTAAAAACTTGTCCGACTCAGTAGTACGAATAGGTCGGCTGAGTTTTAGCTTGTAGGTAATAATAAAAAAAAAGGTATTTGGCCCGAGGACTAATAAATTAAACCCAGAATCAAAACAAATGATCGTCCTTATCTCAAAATTATTGGTCCTGGGCGGCCCAAGACCTTTGGCTAAGCAGTTTGGATCATTAACCACTCGACCAAAATCTTTAAAGATTGAAAGTGTTACAATACTAATAAAACATTAAATATTCCACATTTTTTGTTGACATGCAAAATATCAGTCCACTTTGTTGATTTAATTTCAATAAGCTTTAGCATCCGAACGTCCGAACAGTGGAATAAATTCTTCTTAAATTGAATGACACTAGTTTTTTATTAAAATCGTTTAAGTCGAAACTAGATGCAGGGGAATATTTTATGAATGTTACTGTGAGCCAAACTCGACCTCGTTAACTTTTTCGATTATTTAAATAAAACAGCACACGACCCGTCTGATGGTTTCAATAACAATGTACTTCTGTCATACTTTTTAAAAGGTGCACTTTTTGCATGATGATTCATGAGAACCAACATTCACGAGTATACACTACATAACCGTGTCTTTTGTGTTTATACATTGATTATTTAACTCTTCGAGAAACATGCATACATTATGAAGCATTTACTTTAATAAGTTATGTTTATAATTTGGATTCCTTTAAAGTAAAGAAAATTAGATATTTTCTTTTTCTCTATACCAGAAATTTGTTTAATAAAACCAGAATTATTAATTTCATTAATACTTTCAGTATAACAGATAGGTCTATTATACATGGGATCCCGTGCTTTGTTTTAGATTAGTAGTAATTTAAATTGCATAGAGCAATCGTAGAGACTACAAAATATAGGTAAACATTAAAAACTTACATTTAAAAGGATATAAAGTACTTTAATGCGACTACATCATGACGAACTACAATAAACTGGTACTGTCCCGGAATTTTTTTTTTATTAAAGACAACTCCCACCCTAGGAATATATCCTGTGTCACGGGGAACTTTTAAAACATTCATCCAAACGGACACAAAGAACACCCAGACTCACACAGAACACAATTTGTGGATCACACAAAGTGTTGTCCCAAGTGGGGATCGAATCCACTACACTCAGCTCAGTAGGAAACTCCGAGGTGACCGCTTAAACCACTAGGCTATCCGTGTGGCTACAATAACTGTATAAGTGACTTAATTTAATATATTAGAAAATAATGTTCCAAGACGATTCATAAACGACGGGGTTCTCTTTTTTTTTGGAAATCGGTAGAAAATATTACAAATAACATTAATTAATATAGCTGATATTAGACCTGTATGCACTAAGTTTTTAGATATTGATGAGATACACCGGCAGCTAGTTGACTCTATTAGCAAACGAACCACGCAGCAGATTGATGATATCGTGCTCTTGATTACTACCTACGACGTTCCGATTGGATGAGCACATGTGTTTAAGGATGTAACAACCCGGTACTAGCGGTAATATGAACGAGAGTTAGCTTGTTAGAGAAAGTACCGTACCAAAAGAATGATATATGTAGTATTCCCGATTCTTTTTTTACCTAATGGCTAACATACAATTAATAAGTACTTGCTAAACTAACAGATGCTTTTAGTTTGAAACAAATAATGTGATAAAAGGTGTTTTATGGTATAAGGGGATAAAACAAACGGGTCACCTGAAAGCCAATTCTCGTAATAAAAGTTCGGTCTCGATTCAGTTCCGAGCAACTTTCGATCTCATAACTGTCTTAAAGGGTAGTATCGTATTACACATCCAACGTTGACTGTAAGGTGATTATATCGTATTGTAATCGAAAATTGAATCGATAATCTGCTCAAAATCGATCTAAGTGGCGTGCAATGGGAGAGGCCTATGTCCAGCAGTGGACTGCGATAGGCTGATGATGATGATGATGATGATGATGAATCTGCTCGTCTTAGTAATACTTTACTAAGAATATACCTTTTATGACAGATGTGACATAGATATATATTTATGTCGGAACGATCAAAAATAAATCGGTTATAATAAAAAAAAAACATATTTTTTTACTTTTTTTATAACCTAATTCGTACTATTATGGTTATTTCATCAACCTTTATTTAACCAATTTCAGCTACATTCGCTCTTTTTGAATGCACGTGTTTACTAACAAAATGCATATCATTGTTATTGATGTGGACGTCAGCTCAACTAAAACTATTGAACTTTATATGTGAGACTAATACATGTTATTAGCAGGATGACTTAAATTTTCAATCCCTTAACGTCGACACACCATAAATGCCCTTGCCACTCAACCAAGTCTTAAAAGTACGAGTAGTTTAAAGACAAAATAGAAAAATGAAATTACAATATCCTTGATAATACTCGTCCTTTTCTTCTGACCCATGTCTTCTGACTTCTAAGAAGGCACTGCAGTGCAAAACCGCCTTGTAAGAACTTCGTTAAATTTTTTCATGGTTTTAACGAGCGAGCAGAAATGTGTACCATAGTTGAATGAAAAAAAAAAGGAAAAATGAATGAAATGCCTCAATCATTTTTAAGCTAATTACATATGTGGGACATTTGAAGTATTTAATTTCAAGCCATTTTATGCTGCAGCTCATATTTTATTACTATTTACTTATTGTATGTGATTACTAGCTGCTGTTGCAAATACATTTGACGGCAAAATTAACACTAGTTCTAATTATTTTTAAATAACGCAAGACTTAAGTTCATTCTATCATCGGAAATAAACTTATTATTTGGGATTTTTATCTAATTTTTTTTGTAAACACTTCTTATGGTCGAAAATGTTTGTCAATCGTTATTACTTTCTAAATTGCTTTTTTCATAAATCATAATCAATAGAAACAAAATAATATATTACAACACCGACAAATGCCATAAAACAATGCGCCAGTCATATAAATTTAAGCACAAGGGAACCGTAATTACTAGAGCACTGCTGTAAAAAACCAGTTAAAAATCAGAATTGCGATGTCTGCAGCATTTTATAGAACTGTCATTAGTTTCAATCGAGGCGACTGCGGGGTGCGACAAAGATGAAATTGTGATGTAACAAGATTTTACGACGGTCATCTCAATCAGAGCGGTAGAAGCAATTTGCTACAATGGAAAACAAATAAACGACCGAAGCCATCTCATTTCGACGCGCTTCCGACCTCAGTGTTACAATTGAACACAACTGTTTTATTGGTTTGAAGTTATTTGTTGGTTCTTACCATTTCTGGAAATGACCCTCCGCAGTAAGTGCCCGATGCGTCGAGCTCCCATACATATCCTCTGCTCCCGAACCACTTCATCCGTACAATCACTATCACTCGCTGTATCATCATCGGTGTCATCGTCTGACACGAGAGATTCACGTTTGGTAGGTTTAGAATCATTTTTACTAAAACTTAATGTCGGTTCACTGGCACCTAAATTCTTTGGTTCCACATTCCATCCGTCAAGTTTTTGTACGTCGTTAAATAAATCGTCTAGATTAGTTTCTAGTAAACCTTTGGCACTACATATCACTTTACTTTTGGTATCATTATGCATGACTATAGCATCGACACTATTTGAAAGACGATTGTCTCGTCTCGACGTTTTTGCATCCTTGGCATCTTCCACTTGACAGCCTATATTGATGTTTTCACGTGTTTTTGTTCGCTGTTTTATACATAACGAATTTTGTGACTCTATTTTCGATTTTTCCATTTGCGCACCACTTTTTTCTATCGACAAAGCGTTCAATTCTCTGGGTACGATCTGATTCTGAGGATGGCTGGGACGGAGTATATTTGAAAGCACCAACATTTTTACTGTTTTTAATGCACTTGCACTGGTCAAATATTCCATCACTGCATTCCTTTTTCATTTCGCTATCACTGACATGTCACACTAAATGAAAACTTAAATGGTTTTGTGTTTGTAATTCTGTATGTGCGAAACTCACAAGCTACAGTTTGCAATACAATAATTTACATGTATGCAAATACATTATGTATGGTAAACTAGACATTATTCACACGTATAAAATATTCTGGTACGGCCCAGGTTTGTGATACATTTCGCCTGGTGCGACGTCGGACGACACGATACGACTGAATAAATAAAATATCAGCAGGAAAACAATCTTCACCTTCATGAATGTTTCAATGTGTTTATTATGCATACGTGAAATAGTATTTAAAGAGGTACACGTTAAGTGAACATAGAAACAGTATGTAAATTTGTTTCATGAAAAGATTTAGTGAATGTCTAAAGTCGGGCGTAAGCTTAGCTTATCTTCAGCGGTAGGATTCTCTTTATGAGATACGTGGCACAGCCGCATCTGTCACCTAGGAACAAAGCTACGCCTGGAAGGCGACACTGTGATAAAATTTCTAGCCACGTAAAAGTTATCAACGTGAGCGGCTTTGGCGTCTACTAAATCAAATTTACTTCAGACATTGTATAATAGATACTGCCTATTTTGTGACACTTAAAGTTATATTAAATGAAAAAATGTTAAATGATCACTTCTCTATATTTATGTGTTATTAAAATTATCTGAAATTCAATCGTGATAGAATCAACATTAAATCGTCAATGCAAGTACTAAAGTCCAATATTAAATTCGACTAAGACTAAAGACAACACACAACGTAGAGAATCAATCTGTAGCGATAAACGAATCGGCATTGAAACAATCATAAGATAATTACGTTTCAATAGACAATTCGGACTAGGTATTATTTTACATAATGTATGTTTGTAAAAAAAAAAAAAATTGGTTATTTTCATAACGTAAGATATCACAGTGGGATTGCATATCTTTCGAAATCTACATTCGGCTCCCCGTTACTGTAATATAACGAAATGTCACTAAAAAATGTTGGTAGTAATAGACGTCAGAATTCATTTATCTCCTTTTTATAGAATATTTATGTCCCCGCTGCTTAATTTAAAAATCTAAGGTATAAAAATATAAGATATATTAGATAAATAGGCCGGATAGGCCAATCGAGAATCGAGTGACTCTGGTCTGTGGTAATGTTTACCGCTTGTCGGGTAAAAGTGTACCCGTACCTCTATTATGCAGTGGCTTACGGCCGCCGACCGGCTTTTTGCCCTAATCTTGTTTAACGGACGTGTTTCGCTTACAAAAATTTTAAACAACTACTTTTCGCATGTCTCGGATTTATAGCGATGACAGCGCTTTTTTAAGTAGAAGTAGGCCTATTGGATGGTATTTTAGTACTTGTAATAAAATTCGAACTGGCCATATGAGGTAAAAGTTCTGAAACAGCATCCCTTGGGACTTAAATAGTACACTACCCCCTATTGTGCGTGACTTGTTTTCACGTTGAAAAGTTGTGACCGGGATAACAAGTGGATATTCAGGATAAAAGCGGAACAGACTAAGTAAATTTCAAGGGACCTTAAATACATGATAATTTATTATGTAAAAATGATTACTAACAAATGACATTTTCTCTAAGTTCTAATTGGTTACACAATAAGCAGTCTTATTATATAAAGCCACCTTATTTGAGTTATTTAGCGACTATTTTAACAGTAGGATAACATCTGAATGATGTTTATCAATCGAAGATTACGGTTTTTACGCTTTAAATAGTTCATTAAAACAGGAACCTAGGTAATGACGCAGTACTTTGCCCAACGCGGTGTGCAGAATTCGGTCGGTTCGAGTCCGACATAACCACCCCACCGGTGAGTAGTATCGGAGGAGATTTTAGCACAGAAAAAAAAACAACAACTTGAAATTATAGTAATATATATTCACTCCCCTCAATAGAAAAGCGACTAGTATCTCGCTGGAATTTACCTAGTTGCTTTAATATTCTAATTGAATTATGCGGTACATATGCTACATAAACCCAAAAACATTTAATGTCCTTCTGAACAAAAATAAAATACAAATTCGAATAATTTATGGAATGAAGTTAACCTATTGTACTTCAGTGTCCACGATAATGTGCCAGTGACGTCCGATGGCGTAATTGAAATGGACAAAACAACCAAAGTTTTGACTTTCAAATTCACACAGACAATAATGAGCACGACTTACATGTTCACACACTTCTAAATACGATGTTACTCGTTTGAGCAATCAAATTGTATTTAAAAAATTTCAAGGTTTCGGGCAAGGCGAAGTTAGAAGCTACAAGGTCATATCACTGATCTTAGATCCGTCTTCTAACCTGAGGGTTGTATGGTAATAATTAGAGTTCAAATATGAAATAATACCTCAATAAGCACCGCTACCACGTAGTAAGAGATCTTGTCGTGTCGATTCTAGGCACCGTAGCCAAGTCATTAAATAAAATTAAATATAGTTTAGAAAAGTATAGAAAACTAAATTAATCCTTGTGAATAATATATTATTTGTGTACTAACGGTTTTAAGCATTTTAGCACTCAGTGATTTATTGATTATTTTTACATATTTTTTTTTATCTCGACTTGAGGAAACTTGTGATTAATTATATTAATATACTATTGCGTAAAACATCCTGGATGTTGCTAAACATTAACTTGATATTTTAAGCATGTGCGTCAGATCATAATATCCTTATTTCTGCCCGAATTTTATTGATCCCTAGAAAGTTAATATTCTTGTTTAAGAAGACATGCATAAAATATAAAGCAATCATCAGTAATGAAATAATTAAAAACCAATCAATCAATGACCTTTTAACCTTGGTTGTCTAAAACATTGTAATTTTTTAGAGAATGCCTCTGAGTTCAATGTGCCTCTTGGCATGGTCCTAGCAACTCTCTTCCAGTTAGTACTGGCAGTTAATTATATCTGTTCCCCCCGTCTCTTATCCTGCCTCCCTCTGTTCCTTTTAGCATCTTTATGGTACCATGGAGTAACTATCTTGCTCGAATTTTCTGGGTACGTCGCAATATACGGCCTGTTCATCTTCATTTTAGATGGTCTTTACTTGCACATCTGTTACTCTATTTTCAATTGGAAAATATCCTTTAAATTAAAAACAAAACTAAATTAAATCGTTAAGCAGAACTATGATATGAATATAGACTCGAACTAAAATTAGTTTGTACTGCCTATTTCTTCTAACATCCATAAGACGTAATATTAATTCACCAGAGAGTTTCCCACAGCGAGCAACCTAAAGTTGTAACTGCATATACCTAGGCATAACTTTATCAATTTCCCTATCCTGTCCGGTTCCCGAGGGGACTGCGGGACCCGATTACAGCTGTTAAACTACCGGTACTATTTATATTTAGTTGTGATGCTACGCAAGGTAAACAGAGTTCAAACGAAGTTCGTGCATCAAATACGGATCAGTAATATTTTTTATAGTTGTATCGGCTATTATTTAAATTAAGTTCTACAGAGTTTTAAGTTCACTCTTGAAGACATGAAAGATAATATGTAAGAGTAAAAAGGAATTGGCGATGGCAAATAAATATATTCATTGATTTATAAACTAATTTATTTGACCTGTTCCTTATTTATTTAAGAAAATTCTCGATCATTCATTCAGAAATATGACATGCTAACAACAACTAGCTAGTAATATCCACTGATCAGTGGAAGATCAGCAAGGTTAAGTGGCCCCGAATCTAAGCAGTCTTTAGTTGGGGAACTGATATGTGAATTTAATACCTCTTACATAGTATGATCAACAGCGAAACGACTTACATAAAATACTGTAATGTAAACCACCTCACAATGAGTGCGATTCCCTTGGGATACTTTATATCGAGATGAATGATCTCTAGGTCCTTTTTTAGGGTTCCGTACCTCAAGAAGTAAAAAAGGAACCCTTATAAGATCACTCTCTTGTCCGTCTGTCTGTCTGTCCGTGTGTCACCACCGATTTACACAGGAACGAGTGGACCTAGAAAGTTGAAATTTATACCAGACACTGAGGTCTATAGTCTAGGGAATATACTATTAGGTGTATAAAAATCAAGGTCCTCAGTCAACACGATAAAAAGATATGGGCAAATTTAGATTTTAGCGAAAACTTGTAATAACAAAAGTAAATTTTAGTACTTATACGTTTTCGCGAAATAAGCGTAATAAACAAACACTCACCGTCGCATTTCTAGAAATAGGCTGATTAATACTTTTGGTATTTTGTGTTCTAATATCAATTGTATATTAAATATTGTTCAATATCATGCCTTACAATTGTAATACGTTAACAGTAATGTCGGTTGAGATTCTTATCAACAATAACCAGTGAAGTTAGATCCGGAACCTTGGGCTATCACAAATACAGAAGCGGAGTAGAAACAATATTTGTATTCATCATAACTTTTTTGTACTATCGGCAAATAAAAAAAAATCATGCAGGAAGCACTTTTTATTTTATGAACGTGGAAAGTAATTTTTAACGTTTTTATTTTGGCAGACAGGAGCAAACATACGTATGTATGTTATGTGACACTCCATAGTGTTGGAATGTTTACACAATAGCTTTTATAAATCGAAACGTTATTTGCGAGATCCCGCGATCGTAAACACAGCTTTGATCTCGATTTTTGTGAGGCTGTGCGATGTAAATACATGTTGTGAGTGGTCTTGCGAATTTCGCACAAACTTCACGGATTGGTTAACACGTTAATTATGTTCTTGACATTGACATTCCGTGTACAATATTTTGTTTTATGTAGTGTGTTTAGAGAAATATTAGGACAATAGTTTACTAAAAAATTGAGCGTTAAAACTATTGTTCTGCAACATAAAAGAAAACATTTTTTTTACACATTTCACTGTTAAAACCTGTTAGACGTACTATACTTATATATATATTAATACAATAATTATAA